ATCATTTTAGCCGAAGAAGCTATAGTTTAGCATTGTACTTGGAAAGAAGAACAAGCGAGAAGAATAATGTTAACAATGACAACGTTTACCTTGGCGCCCACACCATCTTCCGAGTAGCCAATCAGTGGTGATGAGCTGTCCGTCCGGTATGAGATCCTGAACGTCTCGACGTAGCCATCTCCCTGTCCCTGGGTTTGGATACCGAAAACGTAATACTTTTTCTCTAGGTCCACGGCCAGGAGCTTCTGTGTGTCTTGCCCAGACGGCTGCCAGGCTCCATCGCCGTTCAAGCGGCCCCTGTACGCCTCGGATCCGGTCAGTTGGGATGTAGCTGTCATCAGGCGATCTGGAATGATGTTGCTGTCCTGTACCCCAATGGGTTGGTACACGCCAGATGATGCCTCAGCCGTTGTGGTGCTTGACAGTTGTGTGGAGGATGATGTTGGAAGTGGTGTTGTTCTGGGGGGAGTCGTGACGAGGGGAGTCGTTGTTACGAGAGGAGTCGTTGTGGCGAGTGGAGTCGTTGTTGGCGAGCTTGTTGTGGGGAGTTCTGGAAGATAGGAGAAACAATCTATGTCACGATTGAGGTCGTGGTCTCCAGTGGAGTTGTAACAGGGGAGCTTGTTGTGGGGAGCACTGGAATGTAGCAGCCAAATCAATTCTGTCAGTTTCATCACAAAGTTTTACAACTGATGAGGACCTACTTCGCTCTATAACAAGTATGTAAAGGTATGCAGGTAACAGCTATGGTATAAGTTGAACGAAAACATAATGGTGCTAGAAAGTATTCAGTTTTGATATATCAGTGACACATTCAGAATTTGATGCTTTCTTTGAGTTATAATCTCTCATGCAAATCATTGATCCCTTTACACCATTATTCCTGTTGATGAAATAAATACGATTTTAACACTTACCTTCAACCCCAAGTAACTCTATCCTCAGTCTCGGAGCGCCGGAGAAATTTTGAGGCTGGACGAGGATATACTGGGCGTAGATGTACGAGGTGAAGTTTTGTTGGACGATAGTTTCGTTGTCACTGTTACCGGTGAAGATCTGAGGAAAATACATGATTTCTGTTTTTTATCTAGATAATTAGCAAATACACTAGGATGTGGAACAATTTTTATATATAAATTACAGCAGGTAATCCATTATGTAAATACCTTTCTAGGTAGTGTTCGTTCTACGTTCCAAAATAGGCAACGCATTACGAAGGCAAAGGAAAAATACTTTGACTGTCTAGTAGAAATGATACGAATTGAAGGGACTGATGTATCTCTTGTCATCTTGATGCCTTTTTCCTGTCTTCTGTATCATTTTTAGCCGAAGAAGCTATAGTTTAGCATTGTACTTGGAAAGAAGAACAAGCGAGAAGAATAATGTTAACAATGACAACGTTTACCTTGGCGCCCACACCATCTTCCGAGTAGCCAATCAGTGGTGATGAGCTGTCCGTCCGGTATGAGATCCTGAACGTCTCGACGTAGCCATCTCCCTGTCCCTGGGTTTGAATACCGAAAACGTAATACTTTTTCCCTAGGTCCACGGCCAGGAGCGTCTGTGTGTCTTGCCCAGACGGCTGCCAGGCTCCATCGCCGTTCAAGCGGCCCCTGTACGCCTCGGATCCGGTCAGTTGGGATGTAGCTGTCATCAGGCGATCTGGAATGATGCTGCTGTCCTGTACCCCAATGGGTTGGTACACGCCAGATGACGTCTCAGCCGTTGTGGTACTTGACAGTTGTGTGGAGGATGATGTTGGAAGTGGTGTTGTAATGGGTGGAGTCGTTGTGACGAGGGGAGTCGTTGTTACGAGGGGAGTCGTTGTGACGAGGGGAGTCGTTGTGACGAGTGGAGTTGTGACGAGGGGAGTCGTTGTGACGAGTGGAGTCGTTGTGACGATGGGAGTCGTTGTTGGAGAGCTTGTTGTTGTGGGGAGTTCTGGAAGATAGGAGAAACAATCTATGTCATTTCATCTATTCAAGATACAGTCAACTTTGCTCAAGCAACCGCCCCTATAAGCCGACCGTCTGTGCACGACGACCGCTTTTTCTTGGTGCCATTTATTTTCTCAAAGGGGACCTGTCTAGTACTCTTTTGACTCATTAGGGGACTTCTCTAACGCACTTTCCTAGAACATAGAGCAAGGTGCTGGTACAGTACTGGGAAGGATGCAGAAAATGCAAATGTTGTTTTCATGTACAACACCTCCGTAGCGGTGCCAAATACCATTCGGAATTAAGCAATCAATCTTTTCTAAGAGCCAATTCCCTACTTTCGTAATGCCAATGTTCGTTTTTGCTACTTACCCTCAACTCCAAGTAACTCTATCCTCAGCCTGGGAGCGCCGGAGACGTTTACAGGGTTGACGAGGATATACTGGGCGTGGATGTACGGGGTCAAGTTTTGTTGGAAGATAGTTTCGTTGTCGCTGTTACCGGTGAAGATCTGAGGAAAAGAAGAATGTAATGAAGCCTCCTACATAGATGAAAAAATTAGCTTTGCTGAATTATTTTGATCTAAATCAACTACTTCATGTCTACTTTTTCTGCCATAGTATATTTATCAACTGTCATATAAGCACTAACCTTGGGGTTCACACCATCTTCCGAGTAGGCAATCAGCTCTGTTGAGTTGTCCGGCTGGTAAACGAACCTGTACGTCTCGACGTAGCCATCTCCCTGTCCCTGGGTTTGGATCCCGAAAATGTAATACTTTTTCCCTAGGTCCACGGCCAGGGCCTCAAATTCCTGTTGTCCAGACGGCTGCCAGGCTCCATCGCCGTTCAAGCGGCCCCTGTACGCCTCGGAACCGTTTAGTTGGGATGACGCTGTCATCAGATCATCTGGAATGATGCTGCTATCCTGTACCCCAATAGGTTGGTACACGCCAGATGATGCCTCAGCCGTTGTGGTACTTGAAACTGTCTGGCTCTGCGTACTGGAGACGATGTTGGATGAGGTGGACTGTTGTTGCATCGTGGAGGTATCGTCGATAGTCGGCGAAGTCGTGGACCCATCAGGACTCGACGATGATGCCGTTGTGTTGAGTGGGGTCGTTACTGGGGAGCTTCTTGTCGCTAGTAAAGTCGTTAACAGGGAACTTGTTGTCACATCTGGATTCGTTGGTGGAGAACTCGTTGGCACATCCGGAGTCGTTTCAGTTGAAGCTATTGTCACACCGGGATTCGTTGCTGGAGAGTTTGTCACATTTGGAGTCGTTGCTGCAGAACTTGTTGTTTTACCTGGAGTCGTTGTTGGAGAGCTTGTTGTCACAAGTGGGTTGGTTGTTGGAGGGTTTGTTGTCACAATTGGAGTCGTTGTTGGAGAGTTTGTTGTCACAAGTGGTGTCGTTGTTGGGGAGTTTGTTGTCACAGTTGGAGTTGTGGTCTCCAATGGAGTTGTAACAGGGGAGCTTGTTGTGGGGAGCACTGGAAGATAGCAGGAATATATTTATGTCATTTGTATCCGAAGGCAATGCTTTACAACTGATCATGAGGTACTTCGCTCTCGAAAAGACATTTTAAGGTGGGTAGGTAACAGCTAATGTAAGACTTCAGGTAATGACACTGATGGACATACGTAGTGCAAGTTGAACCAAAATTTTAGATAGAAGTCAGTTCTGATAGATTACGAGTACAAATGACAGATCCGTAATCTGACACGTCGGAAGGGCTTAGGCAATTCCCTTATCGAATCGTTGACCCCTTTTCATTGATATTTTCTCCTTCCACCAAGTAAATGTAATTTCTAAACACATACCCTCAACTCCAAGTAACTCTATCCTCAGTCTCGGAGCGCCGGAGAAATTTTGAGGCTGAACGAGGATATACTGGGCGTAGATGTACGAGGTGAAGTTTTGTTGGACGATAGTTTCGTTGTCGCTGTTACCGGTGAAGATCTGAGGAAAATACATGATTTCTGTTTTTTATCTAGATAATTAGCAAATACACTATATAGATATTACTGCAGGTAATCCATTATGTAAATACCTTCTTAGGTAGTGTTCGTTCTACGTTCCAAAATAGGGAACGCATTACGAAGGCAAAGGAAAAAAAAAACTTTGACTGTCTAGTAGAAATGATACGAATTGAAGGAACTGATGTATCGCTTGTCATCTTGATGCCTTTTTCTTGTCTTCTGTATCATTTTTAGCCGAAGAAGCTATAGTTTAGCATTGTACTTGGAAAGAAAAACAAGCGAGAAGAATAATGTTAACAATGACAACGTTTACCTTGGCGCCCACACCATCTTCCGAGTAGCCAATCAGTGGTGATGAGCTGTCCGTCCGGTATGACATCCTGAACGTCTCGACGTAGCCATCTCCCTGTCCCTGGGTTTGGATTCCGAAAACGTAATACTTTTTCTCTAGGTCCACGGCCAGGAGCTTCTGTGTGTCTTGCCCAGACGGCTGCCAGGCTCCATCGCCGTTCAAGCGGCCCCTGTACGCCTCGGATCCGGTCAGTTGGGATGTAGCTGTCATCAGACTATCTGGAATGATGCTGCTGTCCTGTACCCCAATGGGTTGGTACACGCCAGATGACGTCTCAGCCGTTGTGGTGCTTGAGAGTTGTGTGGAGGAGGATGTTGGAAGTGGTGTTGTTACGAGTGGAGTCGTTGTTACGAGTGGAGTCGTTGTTACGAGGGGAGTCGTTGTGACGAGTGGAGTCGTTGTTACGAGTGGAGTCGTTGTTACGAGTGGAGTCGTTGTTACGAGTGGAGTCGTTGTTACGAGGGGAGTCGTTGAGACGAGTGGAGTCGTTGCCACAAATGGAGTCGTTGTTGGAGAGCTTGTTGTGGGGAGTTCTGAAAAATAGGAGATATTCTATGTCCTTCCATTGAAATACATTCAAGACACATGTTGTAGGTTTCCCTACTGACAGAGGCCAATTTGTCTATGCACTGTAAATGGGTACCATAAGTCACATTATCACCTTAGCATACATGGCGAAGTCTATCAACGCAGAGGTATACCCTACGACATTGTTACATGCATTGTTCTCATATTTTCCTACCTAGTGCTTGTATACAAATTCCACCATTGAGCAATCAATCGTCCCTAAGAATCAATTTTCTACTGCGGTGATGTCAGTGTTCGTTTTGCTACTTACCTTCAACTCCGAGTAACTCTATCCTCAGTCTCGGAGAGCCGGAGAAATTTTGAGGATTGATGATGATAACCTGGGCGTAGATGTACGAGGTGAAGTTTTGCTGGACAATCGTCTCGTTGTCGCTGTTACCTGTGAAGATCTATCAAAAAAGTATAATTTCTGTCAATCCATCGGCTTGTATACATACACTAGGCTCTGAAATGTGTCTATGACTCTATAGCAGAGAATAGCATAGTATGTCTATCAACAGTCATCTAAGAGCTTACCTTGGGATTCACACCATCTTCCGAGTAGCCAATCAGTTGTGATGAGTCCGTCTGGTATAAGATCCTGAACGTCTCGACGTAGCCATCTCCCTGTCCCTGGGTTTGGATACCGAAAACGTAATACTTTTTCTCTAGGTCCACGGCCAGGTACCGTAATGCATCTTGTCCAGTCGGCTGCCAGGCTCCATCGCCGTTCAAGCGGCCCCTGTACGCCTCGGAACCGTTTAGTTGGGATGACGCTGTCATCAGGCCATCTGGAATGATGCTGCTATTCTGTACCCCAATAGGTTGGTACACGCCATTCTGTGCGTCTGTTGTAAGAAAGCGAAGAAAAGTCCATGTAATCAAAAGACAAAGAAAGGTACGTTTTACCTAACTTTTGTATATTTGAAGAGATTTATGACTTCGCGCATCTAACGAAGCACGCGTGAAGCAACACGTAAGCCGGTAAGGGAAGAAACGGGACCTTTACGCATGGTTTAAGACATGCTTAAAGAATGGTTTTTCTCAGTGTACTTTAGTTCAGCAAATTATTTTCATGTAGCCATCATTGTAGTCAACCAGTAACTTCGCTGTTGGCAGGATTGTCTTGTCTGTTTGATTTACATCTATCTTACATGAAGTTAATAGCTGAAAGCAGCGGACATGCTGTGATGGCTCACCCTGATCACGCGTACTTCTCGCGTTATTTGTATTTACATGTCATCGTCAGACAGGTCGGTACACAGGCAGTATGTACACCTAACGGCAGCCCTGCGACCAGTTCAAATATGGTATTTGTCAACCTCACGTTTATCAAAACGTGAGGGAAAAATGTTGGTAAAATCCTATCCTTGTTTGTGAATTTATTATTTTATATTAATATTTAGCTTCATATTTGAGTATTTAACTGCAATGTGAAGAAAACAAGTTATTCAACAAGTAACCCGTCTTTTGGCGTTACGAGTCTATCAAGGAATTTTGTTTGATTTGTTGATATACTATGATTTGTACAAAACCCAATGCCAGTACAAAACGTCGTTTAATTTTCACAACATGAATCTGGACCTGTGGACGTTTAATTTGCCCCGTCACCACTGTCTTATCAGTTAGACAGCGACGTGACGTACGGATGTTTTAGAGCTGGGTGGGGCAAGCTGGAATACAGATATGACTTGTCCAAAAGTCAGTCGGCATTATAGGGGGACTAGGCTACAGAAGCATGTGTTGTTTTCGAAGCTACCACATCGCAGACTCTATCTTGGTTACAATGGGTTCTAACGGGGTAATTTCTGAAGACCTGGGTCAATTGCCCGGGCACAACATGACAATTAAGTCGCTATGACTGCAAATTGATGAACACATATGCATTACAAACACACATGCATTACAAACATGATGACTCAAATTTCTAAAGATCACTTCTACCTTTCTGAAGGCACTTTGATGGAGTTTTACTTGTTGATGCCAATGGGATGATGGCTAGAGATTAAGGTCATATCTTTGCCCAAGGGAAGGGGAAGTAATGCTTGTATCCACCAACACACTAAAATAATTTTCAAGATCACCCCAATTTTACGAGAAAAGGAACATTATTTTGTATCTGGAGAGTATTCGGGTTTTATCAGAATATTGTTACAGTAATATTTTACAAATTCGGTTGATTTTGTATCAATAAAATGTTGATTTTGAGAAACAACACCGGCCTCTGCTCTTGGGCCTGAAAGAACAGAGAGGCCAGACGTAAGCATACACCAGGACCGGCCGATTCGCTTCTCACACGGCTGCTATGTGAAGGACGGCCCATTCATATACAGGGAGAACGGAGTAAGGCCTCCGGTATTGGGAACATGATACCCTGTCACACATTTAAGACCTTCCCCCGAACACCAGCCAACCAAGGTTGGCTAAACTTCGGGAGCAGTCTGGCCAGATTTAGGCCACGCCTAACTTTTGGTACAAAAATATAATGAAATTTGAGTTGAATTCGAGTGCCAACCATGCGCCAACCTACTCCCGAATATTAGCAAACCACCAGCCAACTATGACAGAACCTACCCTCCACACCCGAATGTTTTAAACATTTTGAAACATTCGGCTGTCTCAGCGCCGAACAGAAGCCAACCTAACCCAACACAAGCGACCCAAAGCCAACCTTGCATGCTCCCGACCTACTCCAAGCCATGGTTGGGTGGAGGTCGGCTGGTGTTCGGGAGACCATATTCGGCTATGTGCGACAGGGGCTTTACCTATTCCTATCCATGGTTGGGTGGTGTTCTGGAGGCCAAATTCAGCTATGTGCGACAGGGGCTTATTATTTTTTTACCTTCTCTCCTGACCATGGTTGGGTTTGGTGGTGTTTGGGAGGACACATTTGGCTATGTGCGACAGGGGCTTACTATTTTTTTTGTTACCTAGGCTACTCCTAACCATGGTTGGATGGTGTTCTGGAGGCCAAATTCAGCTATGTGTAACAGGGGCTTATGACGGAATGACTGATCGACCGGTTGTTTGCGTACCTGCTAATCGCCTGTCCGTGAGGCTGTTACCAGACGTTACACCTGAGTGGGGCCGTGCTATAGCGCCGTACCGGGTGTGGAGTGGCACGGGTATTTGTCCTGTCTACTCAAGAGCTTTGCATGAGAAAACACCTGACAATGACTCAACGGAACGCCTTGACTCAAGGTTCAGGTCGTTCAGCACTATTACTTACTTCGAGACTCTCTTTTCACCCAATGTGTGCATTTATTAGTCTCACTTTGCACTGAATGCGTGCGTTAGACTCTCTTTGCACCGAATGAGTGCATTGATTAAGTAAACGCCATTTCAGTGGACTTATTTGATCACACATATTCATATACTAGGGAGTGACAATTAAATGATTGAATCATGCTGCCCACTAAGCAGAACGTCTTAGGCATAACGTTCACGCGACTTATCAAAGAGTAATTGTGGGTCTCTCAGGACGATTCATAAAGTAATAGTAGAATGGTTTATTATGACATCAACTATATCATAACAGAAGAAGAAGAATATCATAACAGTCGCAGCCCAAAGGCTGAATTGATAAAAGCGATATTACAGAAATTGACTGCAAAACATGAACAACATTTTTTCTACACAAGCTAAAATCAAAAGCAAATGTTGTACAGTTCAGAATTGAAATTCTTTAAAATCGGATAGAGAATACAAGTTTTAGGGCAATTTGCGGCATTGAAAGACGTGTTTAGTAGGCGGACCATGTGTGGTATAGCGCTCGTTCTATGGCGTTCAGTTCGACACTTCAAAATGTCCAGATTACTAGCAGTGTGGGACTGTCGACAACTAGCTATCACTAAAGTGTCGAAAAGCATCTTTAGTATCATAATTTGACAGTATCTAAGGTCAAGCATGACCGCCCGCCGCTGGTCTAGCCTTGGTACGGCCACGCCTTTTCTTATTGTTTACACACTTCATGGCACGTACCAATGTCCGAGAGGACAGTTCGTGTAGCTGGTATAGCCTCCTTTGCAGGCGTGTCAGGTGCAGTCGCGTTTAGGGGGGGGGGCGGTGTCAGAGAATTCGAAGGCTGTGGCTGTCAGAGAGGCGCGTTCGATGAGAAAACTTGGCCAATCAGAAAATAGTGCAAATTAGCCCCCCCCCCACGAACGCACCTAGAACGCACCTAGAACGCCTGCGAAGGAGGCTAAGTTCACTGCACTGTACATAAAGAGGAGGTAAGAGGAGGGTAAGAATAATCAATGATAAGTTCAATTATATTAAGTACTATGTAGTACCATAACTGTGTACGTGAGAGAGGTTCCTAAAACCACCTGTTAACTGGCCTAAATGGTAGAATAAACATCAATGTAAAAAACGGGGCATGATGATGACGAAACAAACGTTCTACAGGTTATCGCAAATGTCAGTGTAGGCGATTTAACTACTTTTACCTTAAGCTTACACTCTATATATAGCTATGATGTTATTTTGCGTGTTACAGATGTCGCGCGATGTGGACACATTTCGGCATCCTGATTGTGCCTTCTGACTAGCATACTTTGTGGGACTGTGATTATGGCATGACTTTTGTTAGGTAACGTTAGTTATAACAATGTGCTGAAGGGATAGAGGCGTTGGTCGTATTGATCCAGAAATATAAAGAATGTTGAAAGCTGATAAGCTGCTATGAGCTGAAGGGCCCAGACAAACATGTGTGCCGGATGCACGGCTAAAAGACTTTCTCCCCAGCATTGTTGCTGAATAAGCCAAAAGACACGGTACCGCCTGACACACCAGATGGAAAATTTCCCATATGCATTATCCATGTCGATATACAACGTAGGCAACGCATGGTTAGTACACAGAGAACAGACCTGGCAACTCAAACGTCAAAGAAAGGAAAAAAGCATATCATTGTGATCACGAGCATAACATTCATATGGCGTTTGTAAGGATAAAGGTTTAGCGTCGAACCTGTTTATTTTACCTGCTTCAAACCGTAACCTGGAAGCATCCATCGACCACAAATTGGACGATGTTTTGAACTTCAGTTAAAGAAAACCTCAAGGATTTTCATCTCTACCAATACAACATCTAACGCCTCTGCCTCGAATTTGGGTGTGTACAATTTTGTCCATTAATGTGATACCACTGGTCTGTGAGAGTACTAATTTCCCTGAGCTGTATCTTAACCAACAACTCACTAGAAAATCAGTCTCGTGTCCTGTCTCAACACTTAAGCAGCTTATCGTGTCCCTCATGCGAGAACAGTGTGTCATGATTTACACACAGACACTGCTGCATAATCCTATCTAAGTTGGAGAGGTTTTATGGGGGTCATTGTTTGTGTAATGATTATCTTTATGGTCCAAAATGTCCATATCGCCGATACTATATAAATAATCATTTCTTAAATTGCAGCAAGTAATTAATAAGCGTTAAGAAGTCACTGGTTTCCATGCCAACAAACTACACCCATAACCTAGATAATTTATAATCTTTACTAGTAAAGACAACAGAAACAGTTAGATCACAATCTTGGCCCTATAACTTTAACAATACACCACACTTGAGCACGTTTGAAGTATGTGCCAACAGTCGTTAGTTATAGAAGTATTGTTTGCGCTTACCTGCAGAAAGTAGAGCTGAGACGACCAGCAAAAACCCTAGGAGAACGGCCCTCGCACAGGCTAAATCCATCTTCTAGAGCCCACACGAGTTACGGTCTTCTTGTAGGTGTGTTAGTGTAGATAGAACGCTTTTTCAAGGCTTGTTTCCAACTGGTGACTGGTACTACCGTTCAGATTTGGCCGAGAGAACAGTGGGGGGAGGACGCTTGGTGATTTTCTATATGACCAGTGAGGCACACCGCCCATTTTGCAAACACAGCTTGAAGGGTGTGGACGGGTGTGGTCCGATGATGTCTCTTCAACGAAGAGCCAATCAAAATACACCTCTCTTTGTGTACACCGCAGACCGCTATTCACCTATAAGGTTGATCAGGTGGATATAAAAGCCGCGTCCTCATTGGCCATCCGTGGTCGGCATCTAAAAGAGCTTGCCGTATACGAGACCAATCAGAGTCGCCGTGTCATTAATCGTGAATCCACTGACCCCTGTGATTCATTGACAGGGAAAACATTGAAGATAGTTTGTCCATTAGTCAGGTGAGAAGCGTCAGCGTAACCGACAGGTCGACTCAAATCACACATTTTAAAGTCACTAAGAAAACAGCAGCATGTAGCATAGACAAACAATATAGTATATATGGGTATGAATTTCTAAAAAAATGTATGAAGACAACGTTGAAAATAGTACAATGAATTTTCTAAAAGAGGAGTATAATAGGTTAGGAAAAACATGTTTGTACATTGCTGAATACTTGTCATTTATGTCAATATTTTTCTCTAGGACCCGTAATTTTGTGTGCATTTGTGTAATGGCTGTTTGACATGACTTGGCCTGGCCATTGTAATTTGTAATAACCAATACTTCATTATTACATGTTTATAAAATAGACAGGCATTGCTGTCTTCACGTCTTCTTTTTTAGATGCTTCTTACGTTACATACTTACAGGCTACCCATAACCTAGTTTGAAGTAATTCAATCCGATCTTAGGTGGTCTGCTAGTACTTTAAAAAGACCAAAGCTCAAAAGGTGTGTCGACTGATGAATTTGAGACGGAAAGGGGGGGGGGGTTAGTGGGTCAAGGGACAGACTTCACGAGCCTATTAACCCAACTATCATTTCCTCTTTTGGAGATAAAACTAAGCATTCATCATAATGAATTCCCCACTCCTTTGTAGCCCGGTTACCAAGAGTAACCAGTGTGAACGTGTGAACAAGTGTGAACGACCAAGAGGACACAGCCGCTGGCTGACCCCTCTTTTGTGACGTCATAGCTGTCACAGATACGTGAGTGCGCACCAGGTTGATTCAGGTAAATGACCGCACAATTGAGACAAGTTAACCATTTCTGTTGCCCCAAGGAAAACAGCTTTAGAGGAAATGAAGTGATACCACGAGCGGTATCATGGCAAATCTTGTTAAATGACTTTTTAAGACCACAAACGACAACCTAATGAGGCTAATTTTGTGCTGTAATGCCCGCCGAAGCCTTGCAAGCATGCTTGCACCTGTGCATGAGTAGCGAGCGCAGAAATACCTTACTCGCTAGGTCACCTGGACCACGCCCTGTTAGGGCACAAATGATGGCGGGTGACCCCCCTCCCCACCCGCGTGAAGACCGAAGCATGCAGCCTGAGACAGACTCATGAACTGAAAAATGATACACTTAGTGGTAGTCATATGTGCTATGTTAACTCTACAAGGACGCCAGGACTCCAACAGTCAACTCAAGATGGTTGAACATTTTACACTATGCACGTCTCCTGATCAGAAGCATTCCGTAAGTTACTTTATTCTGTTTCTAGTTCCACAGGCGGTATCAACACACACCCTTCGATAACAGGTAGATATGTATATTTAGAGACCAGACGGTACTGTCAGGTGAATACAGACCCAGCCTTGTACAAATAAAGCTTGATAAACATCTTCAGTTCTCAACCGCAATCCCCAGTTTAAAGACGGTACCTAACAGACGTTGTATTATTTGCAAACAGCACACTACTGGCTATCTTGGGTTGATCTACATAATGCCTGTCTTGCATTCTAGGCTTAGGTGCAGCATTGTCCAAGTTGTTTACTAAAGCATCGCTTGACCTATTTTCATTGAAGCAAATCGTCTTATTCAGACCTGCAGGTGAAAGAAATTCTTCAGGAGAAGCTTAGAGAAACTCGCAGCATGTGTTACATGGTTTCCTAGTATGTTCAAGAAGAAACAAGAGCACCGAAGTTGGGAAGGAAAGTTAAAAGTTACGTCAGGAATGTTCTATTCAGTTAGTAGACTCGTCGCTTGCTGCGCAAGGCAGTATGGGATCGTCAGAAGATCAGCCTTATTTGTCTGAGATATAGCATGTCCATCATGAGGAGTTTACATATTGTTTTGATTGTTTAATTATCTCTATATGAGGCTGTCTTGATACAGTACTATGATATCCCTATCCATATGCATTAACTGTTACATGATCATACGAAGCAGTATATGACTAGAAACAGTGACTCCTTCCATAGATCATCACTAACAAAGATGCTGCGTTACTGTGCTCATGTCTGAACTTTTCTAACGAGCCAATATGGTCACTTCAGCCTCAGTATATTCGTCACTCGCTTACTGATATTTATCCTCGCCTGAAAGTTTCTGTTTTCCACAGGTTGCATGATTATGAGAGTGAACAGCCAATTAAAGCCAACGTAAGCCAAGAAGGTATGAATGTAGCCTGACTAAACAGCGCTCCTAGCGGTCTGCCCGACAGGTGCCGCCCCCCTCCCCCATGTAAGCCCTGCCAGCGTGCTTGCATATGATACGATTTGTTAATCCATAGAAATAACCATAAGAACTACTAAGGAAGCAATTGATGACAGCGATGGTTTGAGAACGTAGTTAGTGATAAACTATGCAAAACATGTAGGCTCATGAACGTTACAAAATGTGTCATGGAGATTGCATAATCTTCATGATTTTATTAGAATATCGTTGACATACAAACAATTTTACCACTGCCAAAATTTACCACTATCCAACCTGTTTTGGTCATTATTTATGTAAAAATTGGTCACTTGGAAACAAATTTGGACATGCTTCAGTAACAGTCGAAAGTTTCAGGAACAGTTTTTTTTAATCATATTTACATTCGTACAATAGGTCAGATTTATACAAATATCATGGCGCTAAGACGCCCAAGTGATGTGTCGAAAGTACCTAGTACGTACATGCCAAAAACAGCGTGTCAGATATTACAATGCAATGTTCTAATCATCCTGGCTTATAATAGTACCAAACATGGGAACTAGGGACTTTAAATGTGATCACTAATATTAGAATTCACCATTTTCCATGCATCATCATGTCAGAAATGTTAACGCAATGAGACGCAATCATCCAGTGGAGTATTAATCACATCGAAGTAACATCCTTCACACAATGTCTATAAAGATATCTGCATAACATTTCGTCGTCCAAGTACGTAGTTCATAAAATACAAAAGGCCATTCAGTCTCACAAATCGTCCCTAAAATCTATATTTTATAAAGTTTCTCATTCGTCAATTTTCGTCATCTGCCCCAGGGACATTTGTAAATGAAATAGTTAAAAAGCCATAAATAACAATGGACTTGAGCTGTACATGTCTCAATATTTGACTGGCTTTTCACTAAATTAGTTTTCTATTTCATCAAAGATTAACATTATTTGGGGTTAGATATAGAAGATAGAAGGTCCCGGAACTCTTAGTGTTCATATCTTGTTGTTACGCTAATCCATATATTTAGGTAACTCATGGCAACTCCATCTCTTCTGTGCGATATTCTCGCTCGGTTTCAGCCTTCTCGTCGTCTTCTTCTGAACATTTTGTTGATTTGGAATCTACGGTTGAACATGCGCAGCCGGCTGCTTTGTCCGATGTCCAGTTGGAGAGATCTGCAGCTATCTTAGCCTGTAGTGAGTCGGGTATAGGTGGTCTTTCCTGGGACACACAGACATCTTTCTTCTCACTCCCTACAGAATGGAGGACATAACATAATGAAGATAAATTTCCTATTTATGGTAAAGAGAGACATACACAGTCACAGTCTATGTCTTCTGTACAGCTGAATCAATAAAATAAAAGAATTCAATACGTTACCGGTGAAGGATTTGACTGATAGCGTGTTCCCCTCGTCGCTGACCATGACCATGGCGTTGCTCTGCCCCTGTAGACCCGGCATCAGCAAGGTGGGGTTGCCGTACCCGGGTTTGTCCTTCAGGCGGCGGGACCAGACGAACCACGTCAGCATGACGGTCAGCAGCACGGCCGCTCCTCCCGCCGCCCCGCCTACTATCATGGAGAAGTCCGCCCAGGAGCCCGGCTTCGTGGCAGTTTCTGCTGAAGATGTGGAGAGGGGGTATAGTCATCAGAATCATCCCGTCATAGGATAGGGTTTCCTTTTACAAAATGACACACTCTCACCTACTTGCGTTTCCGTGTCTATCTGACACCTTCCTCGTAGCTTCTGACTGGAGTACTGCTTCTGCCGGCTATATATAACCGATGCAGGTGGCGCTTTCGAGGCGAGAACCCAAATCGCTTAAGGTGGCCAGTGATGAACCGGGACAATATAAATCACCTATCCATCCTCATCATTTTTTATTAAAGATTTTAAAAAACTGTGTCAGTCAAAATCACACTACCTTCTTTTGCTGAATTATCTGTAAATACTTGTGGAATTTGACAACGTTATTGTCTTGCTGTGGCTCATAATTTGAAGACTCCACTGAGAGTGTGAAGAGGGGGAGACTGAGGGGCACATGGGGAGAGACCTTTAGGCCAACGTGAAGGCATCTGGACACACATCGGAGCCGCTGGTAGAGATGGCACCAGGATTGCCCAAGGATGAATAGTAGGCCTATAAGTAAGCAAAGAGTGTATGATTACCTATGACAGCTGTAGGAGGTGATGCCACTCTCAGCACCGTCAGATGAACAGATCGCCTGTCCCACTGTCCCATCCTGTTGGTGGCCAGGCAGACGTACTGACCATCGTCCGACGTGTCCAGCTCCTGTAGGGTCAGCCTGGAGCTGCTCTTCCCTTGGTCGGCTGTGTGGATCGGGCTGGAGTCCGCGCCGGCTCGGTACCAGTGGATCTGCGGGGCGGGGTTGCCGTCAGCCTGGCACGATAGAGACACGGAGGTCCCCACAAACGCCATGGTGGGGGCGGAGATGTTGGTTATGACTGCCGGGTCTGGGAGAGAGAGGAAAGGGGGCGAGAAGGTTTGCGTCGACATTTTTGTTATCGGTTTAACGCAATCATGCCACTCTGGTCTCATCACAAACTCCACAAATAATGTAACGAAATTTACTTTATTTGCCACCTGGGGTGCGGGGTGCATAATAACCTCCAAGCAGATCTTTCAGAGGCTGCAAAGACAGTAGCAAATTGGACATGCATGCAGTATCCAGGCATTTGCCAGACGGTTACAACTTAAGCTGGCGTTTAAAAAAGATACAATACAAAAAGAGAGCCCAATAAAAAAAACTAAAAACATGTCATAAACTAGAGGTCGGAGATCTCATGTCTTCGTCAGAAGTACATCGTTCTAGAGAAATTGACATGCGTATTCTTCACTCTTTTTAATAATCTATTTGGTCTAAAGAACAAAAGAATCTCTGTACTATTTTTATGGTACAGAACACCCTGAAACGGTTTGCCGCAGATTATACAGATGCGTCGTCACCCGTGTTAGCCCCCCCCTCCTACGTTATTTGAGTTTGGACTGTTACTGGAAAAAAAACCTTCAAGAAATTCTTACTGTGTTGAAAGTGTCACGACAGCGCCGCAAAATATAATAAGAGAAGATGTTGTAAAGGAAAGAATCAGAACAGGGCGACTACTGCTGTTTTGTTAATTTGTCTTTATGACAAATAGAAGACTTGTTTCTTGTGTTCTTTGTGTCCTAACATTTGTACTTCTACAGTTAGTATATTCCAAATCTAGGCATCTCGTTTTTCGGCCCTTCGTGATTTTATTGCGCGCTTGCCTTAAATTTAAGGTAATTAGATTTAAGGTCTCCAGTGGACGTCATCCATAGCAATTACTTGGTGTGGCCGTAGAAAATAACCTGACATATGTCCAACCTATCCTCCCCCTACTGAAGTTATAGTACAATCCCTCAATGTAACGTCATTTGATCCCATCCCATTATGGGGTTCCCCGGCTAAATCCAGCTGTCGGCTGTCTCCAAGCAGATGTAGGTGGGGGATTTCTAAACACAAAAGGTCCTATTACGGGGACATAACGACCTCCACGACTCTCATCTTTGAACTCAATCTTGGAGACCACCACAGTAACATGCCTATCAAATTTCATTAACTTCCATCCACACATACAAAAGTTATCCTGCTCACAAGAAAAATTAACAAAATGCCCCCTGTAGTCACAACGAAACCCCCCACGAAGCTCAGTAACGAACTTAACCTTGGTCCCGACAATAGTAAGCACCACACCAAGAATTATGATCAACATTTTACAAATACTTGAGTTATCTTGCTAACAAGCCACAAACACAAAAGGTGCACTAACGTGACGCACGGACCCCCCACGAAGCCGAAACTTGTACTTGACTTTGACCTTAACAGCGGTAATCTGCCTGCCAAAAATCATGGACGTCGAATCATGCCTTCCAGAGTTATATCGCAAAATCCGCAGTTCCCCACACTCCGGCGAGACAATTTCATAGTCCTTCTGACGAAGACAATAAGCCGAAGCCTCAACCTCTGTTTGGTTTGAGTTGCATAAGACCTACAAACATACTTAGTATTACAAACCACGAAGATGCATTCCTAACTGATTGGGTAAGCTTTTCATAATCGCGCACGTGTAATTCTATATTTTGATCTATCGGTTTTCTAGCTATCCTATCACTACAGCTATGATCTTTATCGCATAATTTCCAAGGTTGCCAGAAGAGTTAATATTTCTCCTTACACAGAACATCCAATGAGAGACTGTCTGACTGCCAGCTGCCGCCATGTTGCGCCACGCAGGTGTAATTCCCGGCATCCTCTCGGGTAAGTCTGGTGACCGTTAGGGCAGACTTGTAGGAGTTCTGGTCCTCATACTCAACATGCCAGCCGGGAGGCGGCCGGACACCATTCCTGTACATCCAGAAAAAATCGGGAACTAAAACAGTTCTCATGATCATCTACATACTTAATTCAGTTTTTTTTTCACATTTTTGAAACTATCCAGTGGCAAACTAGAAGAAACTAAGCAAAAACAATATGTTTCCCTTCCCTCTAAATAAACGGATATTAGGGGCATATAGCACAATCACAAAACGTATTGTACATTTACTGAGGAAACGCCTGCCTACCTGAGCCAGTAGATGTTGTACTGTAGGTTAGTGCTCTTCTCCACCGTGCAGTTGAGTGTGATGTTGGTGTTGATGGGAACACGCAGCGGGCTCTGTTGTCCTACACTTACTTTCGGAGGTACTGCAAGGGGAATGAAAAATAAACGCTCCCACCTTACCTTCATCTTCACTAATAACAGGAGACATTGTCTACAAAACTTATAAAGATGAGATAAAACATACACATATTATGAATAAAACTATTGCATGCACTACAATGTGCAAACAATTGCAATAACACTCAATCAATCATTGAATACATTCGTTGGCTCCGGACTGCCATTATGTTAAAGAAGCCCTCAGCTCTAGTGGCTGATGTTGCCTTTGCTTTGAATAATTGTTATAAGTAGAGTACAGCATCAGCTAAATATGTAATATTGCCGCTATTGCAAAATGGACAATCCCGTAACTGAATGATGATGACAAACTGAATAGACCCCTCCCCCTATACAGCCCCTTTTTGGTATCTAAAGTGAACGAGCTGTACTTTCACGGTCTAAGAAGTCTACAAACTCTTCAGTTGCCTTACTTTGCACTTCGAGGTAGACATAGTGTTCCTGCTGTCCGACCGCGTCTATTAACGTAGTCATGACGTACTGGCCCTCGTCCTTCTTCTCCAGATGACGTAACGTCAGGGAGCCGTTGTTGTTGAGCGTCGCGCGGTCCTTGAACGGGCCCAGGGGTAAGGAGCTGAGATGGGAGACACAGAATCACATGTAAGATTGCCATGAAACTTGGTTGTTCTAAGGACCAATTCTATCCCTCCAGTCTTTCCGAAATGTCAAAACAGACCTTCTATCCTTGCCTACATCAATGCCTGTGTATCTTACATCCTACCTATCTTAAAATGTCGTATTATGTAAAATAAGACTTAAGCACTAGCTTACGCATAGGTGGATACAAGAATCGGCAGCAGTACTCCTAGCGCCTCTAGGTTGTAATTTATTATATTTTAGAGAATTACCTGTTACTGTTAGGAGAGTACATGTAGACGGGAATCCGGGTTCCCTGGATGTTGGGGTCGAACTTGTTCCATGTCAGGGCGATGACGGGCTGGTCGTGATCGTAGCTGGCCGGCAGGGTGACGATCTCACCCAGGGTACCCCGGACTGACGTGGAGATGGGCAGGCCCTTGTTACTACACACAACTGAAACACATCGACAATATTAAAGAAGGTTTACATCTTAGAGACGTCATGGTAGAGAATAGTTAAACCTTTATTGTTGCCGCTGACGTATATTCTGTACGTACTTTGCCGCATACATATACTCTGTACGTAGGGTGACGTTATTCATACATGTATTTAGCTTTTTAGATTTTTAGTTGTAGAAGACTATACAGAATTTAACATGTCATTTATGACGGAATTTTCATGATGGAATTTTCCTAACTTGGAGCACGCCAACAATATGTTGATTTTCAAACAGGCATTGTTGAATTTCTCGACCCTGCGCTGGCCCGTGGGTATACATGCACAATCTAATATTGATGAGTCTAGACGTAGAAAACGAACGATAAATCTTCTGGCTTAACCTTCGGGTTGTCAGGAGGTCATCAGGGAAGATGAGTTTGAATATTGCCTGTCATGCAGTATATAACGTTTTGGTAACTATATAAGTGTTGCTTTGTCTTTGTTTGAACATTCCGTTGTACTTTATGGCAGTTTTCGTGATTGGTAATTATATATTTTGTAGTTCTTTCCATACTTCATATTTCAATTCTATGTTGGATACACTGTGTCTTTTCATACGTTAGATTTCTTTTCATACGTTGTATGACATTATGCCATTTCTCCTTATAATATATGCTACATGTTCCTGTTTGCAACTAAAATATAGCCAAAATTTCTGTTATTACTGTGTTGACGGCATACATGGTATTAATGGTATCATGTTACTTTCAACTATTTGCTGAAAGGAATTGCTAGGAACCCGCAATTCAGCCAATAGACTCACTGCGAGAGGGATTTTCATCTTAAATAAACCATTCACTCATTCATTCATTCATTCATTCATTCATTCATTCATTCATTCATTCATTCATTCATTCATTCATTTCATTTCATTTCATCTCTTTATTTCCTCCATCCTTGGAGAGCCTCGTGAAATCAGTACAATACAAAATAAAATCTCATTCTTTGATATTTACAAGAGGTTAGATAAAATAGCAACGTTACACTGTCCCACTGACAGATCCAAGTGAGCACTACTAAATACTGTAGTCTTATTTCTACATATTGCACTTGGTCTTATTAAAAAGGACTACACCTCGAGACTTTACAAGTCAGACAAATCGAATTAAAATATCGTTGCTACGAGCAAAATTACTCTCACAGACTCACACTAAATCTCCAAATGAATGTCCAAAGTACGTCTAGGACCAGATTGTTTTTTCAGTTCTTCCCTCAGAAGTTTCACCACTCCGGGCATACACATGTAGATTACAAGTCACTATTACTAGTTAGATAAGTGTCCTGGGTACATTATACTGAGTGTTAGAGTGTCCATGGGTAAGTCAAGTTCGCCATTTCCATATTGTAT